GTTAACCCAGTTTTGTCTTTCTATAGGTATGTCGAGTGGCGTCGCGGCTCAAAGTCACGGGATCCTCGACGGAAAACGTGTCGCTGGGTAATTAACGTTACTCGTGCACACCGTTTCCGAGCGGGTTGATGTTAATAGACAACCCGTGAGTCGCCAGAACTTTCGTAATTAGCCGACCATACTTTTCGACGCGTTTATCGAGATCCCGTTAATTCCGCAGTTATCGCTCCCGCGATAACGAGCCAGCAAGCGCGTTCATTCGAACGAGCATTTATTTTGTCTCCGCGGAAATTATCGACGCGCCATAAATAAAGCCTCCTACAAATTTTAATAAACGCCTCGCGATTCTTCGACGCCGGCGATAAATATTTATCCACGTTTGCGCGGCTCCCTCCGTGATCCGCGTTTCGGGATGCAATTCCGTTTCATTCCCCCATCGCGATCGATAGTTTCGCGTGGTTGTCACAAAGTCGCGGAAAAAACTGGCGATTTCACGCGGAATCTCCATGAAACGGCGATATTGCCGGTGAATCAGTTTCGCAGTTGTTAGAAATTTCCATGCGGCTTCGAACCGCTCGAGCTGACCCCGGCGTATACGATTAATCGTCGTTTAAAACTAGCCGCGCTAGGTCGTTCGTTCGCGTTTTTTTTTTCTCCCATTCGCGGCGACGTTTTGCTCGTTTGAATTAGCATGTCGCGGGAAAAAGTTGCAACGCTGACGAGTTATCGCGGGAAAAGTTTAAGACAATCGCGGCCCGCGGCGTATCGGAACTTTCGTTCGGCTTTTTCGCGCAATTTTTGTTGCAATTTTTACCGTGCCGGTAAACGACGAACGAATCGCGCCGCAACGTGCAGACTGACCGAATTATCATCATTTCACACGGAATGACGGTAGCCGGTTGTGCTCCGACATAGAGGGTAGCGGAAGGAAAAGAGGGTGGAAGCGCGCGACGCTGTTTAGAATTTCGATCACGTTGCACAGAGGGAAATAAGCTCCGTCCTCGGGGATTCTTCTGACTCGTCACGCGTCGTTGTTTGTCTTGGTAGGAAATCAAAATGGATCGAATATTCTATGAAAATTTATTACTACGAAGACGAAAGGAAAGCGAAGGTCTCATAAATATTCCAGTATACCGGGACTAGGCGGTGTTTGCTGGTTATCGATGCCTTTTTGCGCGATAACTTCATCTTTCCTCTGTTTTTACATTTCCCGACCTCGTTGCCTCTTTTTCGTACGTTTACGAGAATTCGCATGCGAGTCGTCTCGGGGTAACGCGATTCGAGAGGTAGCCAATTGGATTTTAAGCGATAAGATGTTCGAATGGTGAGAGGAAACGAGTGACGAATGGCGAGGATCTTCGTTGACTTTTCCGTTTCAAATGCTATTTTCCGGGCGAAATATCGAACACACGCGAGTCGAGCGAAGTTCGCGAACGATGCGAGCAGAATGATTTTGCGCGTCCTCCGATTCTCTGGATCAAAATGCCATCGAAATTAACCGCGTGCTTTGATCTCCCATCGTCAGAAACAATAAACTGCAATTAAACGGCAATGCGAGAAATTACTCGCAGCAACCTGGTATTATTCGAGTAGAATTTGAAAACGTCGGCGATCCGCGAATGAGACGGTACGTAAAATTTCAAATATACCGATATACGTGTATTCGTCGAGAAGGATACTTAAAGTAGTTTACAAATACGATACTTTAAGCAGAAATGTGAACGGGAAAGACCGGCAGTCAGCTTGAAATTTACTCTGCGCCAAAGAGCTTTCGGTTGCAGGAAAGCGTGGAGATTAAAAGCGAACTGAAAAGCGAAAGTGTTAATAACTCGCTCAAAGCGACACACAGACGTATCTCGATCGAGGTATCAGCTGTCCCATCCGGTTTAAAATTCCCGCGAGAAGCCTCGGACGGATCGCAGGCCGGTTCCCGATAGCTTTGTTCGCCACGGGGAAGAATGGCGCGACGCTGGAGAAAGTGATGAAAGGGGCCACGGAACAGAAAGACGGGAACGCGTGTTCGCTTTTCAAGGAAGGGGGAAGTGCTCGGTGTACTTTTGACGTCTGCCCCTCGTATGGAAGTGCTTTCGAGCAGCCGGCGCCGTAAAATACTAGTCGCTGGCAATGAAGAACGCGAAAAAGCGCCGCACTGCTTTCCCATGTCGTGATTATTTCCCTCATACTTCTCCCTTTCTTCTCCTTTTCCACCTCCTATACAACGATTACCAAGCACCCTTCGTTGAGTTCCTCGTTCATCGAACTCGTTCGCTCGACACCGTAAACAAGCCTCGCCTTTTCACCTGGAAAATGTTATTCCTGTGTCCCGAAAGTTAAAATTTTTGAAAAATCGAGTAACCATTTTAAACCCATATGGAATATTTCCAAGTGAATACCACGTGCAGCCAGAGGGGATTGATAACGTGCTCCCATAAATCATTGAACGGCACCGTAATAAGTAACATCGATCATGTGCGAAGCCTATCTTTCATCGTTGATACGTGTCCAGATATTTTCCAGCAACCATAGGATTAACAGTTTCTAGACACAGTCTCGATTAATTTCAGTGGATCGACACACTGCACGCGACCATAATCCGCCGTATCATTGATCCAGGTTAAGAAGCAACGCTTACACCGTTAACGAGCAGAGACACGGTGCTTCATGGGAGAGGGAATAGGTTGCGATTCGATAGCCCTCCTTCGGCTTTCGCCAGCCAGCTCGAAGATTTCCCGCCCTATCTTGCATTCGGATTACCATACACACACGAGCTCGCACGTACGCGGCCCGTCGAGGATAATGGACCGAAGTTACCTCTCGCGGTAAGTTGTCGAAGTTCGAAAACAAGCGGCAACGAGAACGTGGTACGATGCTTTATACATATTCAGCGTTTAATGAAATACGAAACTAGCTAAGAGTACGCACGCGAGCAGCTTGGAATAGGCGAGCGTGTCGAAGATGCATGCCAAAGATCGAGGACGCGTACCGTCTTCGTCGTTCATTCGTAATTAGAACGCAGGGTGTTTGTCAAATTTTGTAGTACCATCGGGTGCTCTCGAAGACACTCTTCGTCCACGGAATATTTCTTTATCGTTAATTCCATCGTCTCTAGATCTATCATTTTGACATTGAACTCACCATGACCGATCAAATAAATAGGAAAATGAAAGAGGAAGAGTTTTAAAGTAAATGGAATAGAAAATATAGAAAAATTGACAATACGAAAATTTCCAAATCGAAAATTTGGAAACATGGAAATATATGTCAATGTCTCCAGCAACAATTGCTCTATACATTGATCATTCAACAATTGCTGGAGAATTTAGATGATCAGCGAACAGATTAATTCAGTCGCTACAGTATCGTGTAGTTGATGATTTTCAGTACTGTATCGTCATTTGTTAATATTACTACCTATATATGATCTATCCATTGTTCATTCTAAAATTGCTATAAAATTTAAATCGTCAGTGAACAGATTAATCAAGCGTATACAGTGCTCTGTTGATGATTATACTCGGTACTGTTTTGTCAATTGTTAATATCTTTGTCGTTTAACTACTCGACTATATATAGCATTATACGTTATAAAACTCTGCAGTATCTATTAGGTACTTCAAAAAATTGTCAATTTTTACGGAATATACTTCTACTTTCACCCCTATCTTTCCAACCATTCTCAACACCTAGAAATCAATTTTTCGAACAAATAAATATCCCTATTAATATTCGCGATAGACTATAGGAAACGCGGGCGCGCTAAAATTGCAAACTCCGGCAAACTCCGTTCAGATTGACCCTCCGCGAACCAAATTTTAATTTACCCTTCGAAAACTCAGTTAAAGCTTCGCCTAGTAAATCCTAGGTACTTTACCCGGTAGCAGGATGGACTATAATATCGACAAACTAAAAGCCGGAGTCTCGAAAATAGCTACCCCCTCGCGAACACCGAGAACCCACCAACGATCCCGTAAGTCGCGTGTTTTAATCGAATGAAACGCGAGCGAAAGAAAAGAAAAAGAAGAAAGGAAAAGAAAGAAAAAATTCGTCGCTGGGAAAATAAACACGGCCGACATCTATAAAAGAGAAACTACCCACGATTTCGAAAGCTTCCCCGTAAAGTAAACGCGAAATCGTCGGAGGGGTAGACAAGAAAGACGGACTGGCTGAAGGGTCTGGAAGGTAACTCGATACACGGAATAACAAGAGTTTTCGCGCGTTTCTTCCTGCTCGAGGGGATGATTCAGGCAAGAGCGGGGCTGCTGTCGCTGCAGCTCGTCGGCGATGTGGTTGAACGAGTCGCATTATCAAGCCTCGTCGACGCGGCACTTGGCGAGGGGTTGCGACCCTCGCGAGCACCGCAAGCGCGTATCGACTCGCGACATTTCTATATTCTCGAATTTCATGGAACACCTTAGAACCCGCGCCATCCCGTCGGGGACCGCTTCCATCCGACGTTCGAAATTGGTTTCGTCGACGCCTGACATTAAAATGTACAGCCTGCACGCCGGTGCGGGCCGCGTCTCCAGCCGAGACGCTTCCAGTTCTATCTTCGCCGACGAGAGGTTGTTATTTAAATATTTGCGGACGTGTCGAACGTCAGAAGTCCCCGGCGCGGGGCTGAAAATGTTGTTTGCCGGAATTATGGCGCCTCGTGGAATGGCGCGTGTTTGCCGCCCGGTCGCGACGCTATTTCAGGGTTACGTTAGTTTCCTGCGCTCCGGAGTTTGCTTTATTTTGTTCTTCTTTGGCCTGGCATCGCGGTGCGTGGAACGTTTGTCTACTTTCCGTGGAATATTTATCTTAGCGGGAAATAAAATGAAAAATAACATCCAAATATCGATGTACGTCTGAAAATTTTCTTATCATTTGTCTACACGCTACGTCCTGTGTATCTACCAAAGATTGCGTCGAGTGGAAATATTTGCCTTGGCCCGTGAGAGCGTAAAGAGGAAGAAGGAGGAAGGACGTTGCATTGAGAAACGTTGAAAAAGAGTACTCACTTGATAGGGAGGAGCACGGCGGTGAAGTTAATCGCGATGGACATCCGTGGACCGGCAGTAATTAAGTAGCGACACCGGATGTTCGGAGGATATAGGCCAGGATATCCGGGGCTGGCTAACACGCATCCGTTGTGGCACTCGGTGTCCTCGTAAACCCAGTCGCACTCTGAAAGCACACAAAAACGCGCGTGTTAAATTCACGAGCGTCGTTAAGTACCGTGTTCCATGTTCTACTCAACACCTCGCGTTTCATTTCGATTTCGATTTACGAAAATTCGAAGTTAAAGAGGGAATAAAAATACCTGACGACCAGACGTTTAAACTAAATTCGCAGCATCGAGTATCCTATATACTCGACTTCATATTTCGACTTTTATCCTGTAATTAACACTAGAACTACCGATCTTTAGTGGGCACCTAACTATAACGTGTACAGATTATAGTAATACGATGCGGTACGACGAATATGAGTGAATATATTGATTACAGTTCTTTCTTAATACGAGTTGGTACCAATTTTATTCTTAAAGCAGATGTATGTGTTCGGTGATTGCGAAAATGAAAATTCTGGGACCAGTCATTTTGACAGGGTTGGTGGTTCTAGTGTTAAACAGGATCGCGTAACCACCCCTTTTATATCATCTCTCGACATCTCGTATCCAATGGACCACTGTTTTCCTTGTTTGTGGCTTTTTCTGCCTTTTTCATTACTCTATCTGGATCTCGTTTACGCGACTTGGTGGAACGGAAACCGTAGCCATGAAAATTCGAGGCGAGAGGGGAAGGAAAAAAGCACGCGGCGGCGTGGCGGGCCAGACATTCAATTAAAATCCGCGAAACACGGCTAGAAACGTCGCGGAGTATTCGCTGTAAATTTTCCCGTATGCCAATATCAGTTGGCGATTTAATCGCGCTGCCTCGCGCCAACGGTACTCGCACGGTGCACGGACATTACGGGAAAGTTATGGAGCGGGGCTGGCGCAGTTGGACGCCCATCGATAGTTCAAGTGCGCCACGATGATCGAGGAAAAACGAAGAGCCCGCGTGAAAAACGACGCTCGATCGTGGCACGTGAATCGCGATATTGCAAACTGACCGTGATACGGTGACGAAAAAATTTCGACCACGTCCGCTTGCTTTTTGTTCCGCCGTGAAAAATTATGTTTTTAAACCGGCTCGCCCGGGATGATCTAAGATATCCGTCAATCGATCTTCGGTCTAATAGAAACCTTTTTCGCCTGTGCTTTTTGTCCGAGTTTGTCGCGATTGTTCCACGAAACGATCGGTCATTCGATAATTCCCATCGGTCGAAGTAATTTCACTCGAGATCCGGTGCTCTTTCTCGGGATTATTCGTAAATTTATTCCCAAGGAAAATTGGGAAAATAAGCGGAATCGTTTGGATAGAAACTTTTTGCCCGCCATCTTTTTATCTGCCGAGTTTATCGCGATTGTTTCCGGGCGTAATCGATCATCCGATAATTCCACCGATGAAATAATTTCGCTGAAGATTAGTATTTTCCTCTCGGATTGTTCGGAAATTTATTCGCAAGGAAAATTGGAAAAATAAGCCGAGTCGCGATGCGAGTGCTCGAGGTGACATAACCGTGAGCAAATTTAAGAGTTACTTTCGAGCAGCGCTCGTGGATGCACGCTCGCAGAGAAGAGGAACAGCGTCGGGACGGTAAAACAAATATCGTCTAACAAGCAAACCGTGTAACTGCGCGTAGCGCGATATTTACGTATCGGTGTCTAGCTGTGCTTTCTTTTTTCTTCCGGTGTAAAGCGCCAGGAATACGCGAGCGTTCATAATCTCGCGTATAAACCGAGTCGAAAACTGGAAGCAGCGTAATTCCGTACGAGAGCGTTCTGTGAATTCGAGCTCGAAATCTTCCAGTCAATTGAACGCATCGAGTCCAGCAAACTCGACTTAATTGTCGTTTTAAAACTCTGTTGCTAAAATTAAATAAACGAGAGATATATATATTTAGCAATACTTAAACTAGATGCGCAAAATTGCGAACGAGTCTAAAGTCGTATCTTCTGAAAGAATAAATTTCTCGGAGCTGGAGTTACAAGCTTGTCAGAGTCTTCAGAGAAGAAGAAATTTAATATAATACTCGGTATTTGTTTCATTTTTACTATTACACCGGTACTTCACCAGCATGCACAGCTCAATCTGCAACATTCCAATATTCGTACAGCACCATAATTAAAACGCAGTTGGAACTATCCGAATGGATCTAATCGTCGGTTCATCTGCGGTAATTTCCATATTTGAACATGGAACATGGCGTGAAATATTATTTCCATATTGCAGTCCTGTCTCTCCACGTCGATGATAAACATTCGTAACATCGGTACCGGAAATGGGCCTATGGTTGACACGAGGGTACAGGCAGAACACGAAAAAGGCACGGTGAAGTACAGGACGAAGTAAACGGGGACTATGGCAACGACTCGTAGTACATCTCGTCGGGTCGAATTAGAATGTCTACGAGGCGAAACGATATTCGGTGCGGCAGGGCAGCAGGAGCTGCGCCATCTTCTTCGCCTTTTTCTTCCGGCGTCGGGCAACGACGGCGTATCGTTGTCATGCTTCGTTGTCCGTCCTCTTTTACCCCGTGTTTTTTGTTTAGTTTTATATATCCGGGGGATGCAATTGTCATAATGGGTGGACCCATTAGAGATGGGACGCGTCCAGCCCACGGTGCAAGCCTCTCTGAATTTATATAATGCCCTCCGCGTTCTCGGCACCCTTTTTTTCCTTCCTGTCCTTTAGCATATTTTTTCACGCTCCAGCCCACCCTTTCGGCTTCCTGCACTGAATTCCGCTCGTTCTTTTTCCACCTAATTGTTCGCGTCCGAAGGCGCTTAATTCCCTCGCTTTCTTCCTTTTTCTCCCACAACCTCCATTTTTCTTTCTCTCTCCCTTTTGCTTCATTTTTTCCCTTACTCGTCGCGGCTGAACACGTCGTCGTAATTAAATGGACTTTCCGCGTTTATCTTCGTACTTGCCACGCGTGCGCGGAATCGCGTCGCGAAAATCGTTCCGCGCGTCGATCGCGACTGCAAATTTTAAACACTCCGACCCGATAATTTCGCGGATGTAGTTCACTCGGTTTCCCGGTTTCGTTAATGGCAACGCGAAACGATTGCACGCATTCTCGCTAAATTGTTTCCTCTGTTTTATTTCCCGTTTTTCTT